TGGCACTCGTGCGAAAATTTCAGGATTTTTCGCACGGGTGCCCGTGGGCGCCAAGTGTAGGAAACACTGGCAGGCGTGGGTTATTTGGCTAGGCGCCTCGTTTTGGCGCGCGTTAACGCCAGACTGGGCCGTTCTTAGTACGGAAAAAGAGTATATGATTTGTATATATTGTCCCTACATTAATATGTTCCCTTATTCCTTAGTAGCGACCAGTAAGTATAGGGGGTATAGGGCCTATTAAGGAATGTACTGGAACTTTACTCCAAGGTCCAGGTGTTTTTTTTGTTACCAAATAGGCGCGACGCAGTGCCCTGAAAAGTTTCAAGTATTGTCTCCTCATAATCTTAATACACAGATAAAGCATAATTGCACCCCCAATGTCTATTGTAATCTTGCAGGCCCCTACGGTTTCAAAACAATCCCGTCTGATTACTTGGGATCCACAGAAGATAGTATCAAATCTGGCCCTACTTGGGGATTTCTATTGAACGCAGGTCCTGGTACAAGGTCTCCGCGTCCTTGGAGTAATTTGAATAAGCTCATCTGGGAATTGCCTTCCCGCACGGTTTGGGGTTGAGGGTTTGGGTCCTTATGGTGAGGACAGCTTTGTCTTCGGGGCACGCGGGCGGGATCCCCAAAACCTAAACAGCCTACCCCCAGGCATGCTCCCGGCATATTGGGGGTTTCCAAAATTAGGGATCGTTTAGGGTTCTAATTAGGGTTTGGGGGGCTACCCATCGTAAGGATTATAGTTTTTTAGGGTCTGTACTGGGGCTCCCTTATTTAGGGAGACTGTTGTATTTGTGCGGGCATAGGAAAGATTGGGAGAAGGAAGTGGGTATCCGTCGGAGGAGGAGTGGTACCACAACTGCTATGGTCTTTCTTAGAACCTCAAGTTTACATCGCCAAAAGATCAGGGATCTTTAGCCGCACATCCCACCCCCGAAGCCCTGGGGTCCAGATAGCTTTGTTTGCGTCACCCTAGCTCACCCTAAGCCTTCAAGAGGGGGCTCAAACTCCAGGACCCGCCAAACATTCTTAGACTTACTGGTGCTTAGAAGGGAGTGAGGGGTGGAACCTCATCACTATCCCTATGTCGTCCCCATATGTACCCATTCGCACTCTTTGGGTACCAGCAACTAACCCTAAACCCTAAACCCTAAATCAGGATGGAAAGTTCGTCACAGGCACCGTAGGGCCCCGAGATCTCCAAGACGGTTTGGCTCTTGTTAGGTTTAGGGTTGAAGGGTAGGGTTTAGGGTTTAGGGTTCAGGGGGGTTAGGATTTGGGTGTAGTGGGTTTTAGGGCTTAGGAGTTCAGGGTCTGGGATTTATGCGGTGGGCTTCTAGTCTCGCTAAGCAGATAGAATATGGCTTTGGATATAATACAATAAGGTCCCCATATACCCAGTATTCTATAAGTGGGGATTATAGACCGTAAACCCCAAACCCTAAACCTTAAACCCTAAATCCTAAACCCTTAACCCCATTTTCTATCTACTTAAGGGGGACTATGGGCTTAGGCTGAGGTTCGGGATTTTGCCTAGGTTTTGGGGTTGGGCTTTGGGGCGTGGGGCTTGCTTGAAGGGACCCCTAGTTCAGGGTTTAAGAAGGGTTTAGGGTTTAGGTTTTAGGGTTCAGGGTTTAGGGTTTAAGGTTCAGGGTTTAGGGTTTAGGGTTCAGTGTTCAGGGTTTAGGGTTTAGCGTCTAAGAGTCACTTTGCGGCTCCATATTCATTTGTGGATCTAAATCTCAGCCGTACCCATCCCCAAATCAACATTCAAGCTGATGTGGTCCCTTTCTCAAAGGACAGAAGGTTTTGCATGGCCTTTTTTTGTGGGCTTCCATTTTAGTCTTGGGGTTTGGGGTTTAGGGTGTAGGGAGTTTAGGGTTCAGGGTTTAGGGTTTAGGGAGTGTATTCTGAGGATTCATTGATCCTTAGGCCGCAACGGAGCATTCGCGGAAGCCAGTCGCCTTGGACCCCGAATGCAAACCGAAGCCTCAACTTCTGCAAGCCGAGGGCCTAAACCCTAAACCCTCAACCCTAGACCCTCAACCCTCAACCTTAAGCCCTAAGCCCTCAGACCTAAACCATAAACCCTAAACTCTCAACCCTAACCCTAAGCCCTCAACCCTAAACCATAAACCCTCAACCCCGAAACCAAAAACCCTAAACCCTCAAGCTTCAACCGGAAACACTGAACCAAGCCTCCAAGTACATCAAGCAGCCTCAACTTTCTCCGGTCTTGGGTTTAGGGGTTTAGGGTTTCGGGGTTTAGGGTTCAGGGGTTTAGGGATTAGGGTTTGGGGTTTAGGGGTTTAGGGTTAAGGGCTTAGGGAACACTCAACCTGACTTAATCCCTTCCCCCCAACATTCAACCCAACGGTAAAACCCCCCACTCTAGAATTGAATTTTCTGGGATTGTATATTTTATTCCACTGGAACTTTTAAATATCGCGGAGGTTTTCTTTTCATATTAGGGGAGGGGATCAAAACTGCCGACCCAGGTCGACAAGGATGGACAGTGGGTGAGGCTCAGTGGCAAGCACTTCCTGCCTGTGAAGGCGCGAGGGGTCTTACTGTCTGGCTAGGTGGGAAAACAAACGCCCTAAACCCAAAACCCAAACCATAAAATGGAGGCATCTCATAAAGCCACGGGTAGATGCGGTGGATACTAAAATCCTGCATGACCCTAGGTACCTTGTGCATGCGGGATTCTCGTGTTGCACTATACTAAGTTCATGCGGGATGCTGAGTATCAACACTGGCGCTAGCTTGGCAATATATACACCTAGCGAGGCCTACTGGTGCTTAAGGTGTACCCAAAACCCTAAACCAAGGTCGAGGCAGCAGGTCTTCGGGCTAAATCGCTAGAAGTATGCCTCTAGAATCCCTCAGATTTTTTTGCAATTTAGGGTTTAGGGTTCAGACTCATGCCCCCGCTACGTACCTGTCAACCACCAGTGGGTTCTAGGATTGGGTAACTGCCTTCAGGTTCAGGTTTGCACTGAACCCCAAACCCTGAACCCTTAACCCCCAACCCTGAAGCCTAAACCCTTATTCCTCAACTCTGAACCCTAAAGCCTTAAACCCAAGGAGGTACAAGACTGTTTTTTTTGGGAAAGCGTTCGCGGGACCGGACCTGTGGCTCCAAGCTATACTCCGATCCACACGGCTTAGGGTTTCGGGTTCAATCATGGCCCCTCCCCTAATTGAGGTTATTTAGACTTTAGGGCTTAGGGATTAGGGTTTAGGGTTTAGGGATGCGCGTTTAGGGTTTAGGGATTCGGGTTTAGGGTTTGGATTAAATCAGGCCTGTTAAGAGGGAAACGAGCCAGCACCATGAAGCCCCCAAACCTTCAAACATCTTCATTTTCAACCCTCAAGCCGTAAACCATACATCATACACCCCAATTCCCGCCCTACTGCCACAGGATGTACGGCGGGCTTCAGATTCACAGCCGGAGCATAATCAAAATTGAGCAGAAGATGGAACATGACTTGGGAACTGGGCTTCTACAGGTTTACTCTAAACCCCACACCCCAACCCCAAACAGTTGTCAGGTTGGTGGCATCCAGGTTCTCCACCCAGTGGAGCCCCAGGTGCACTGCAGCAGGGTTTGGGGCTTCGGGTTAGGAGAGTTTAGGGTTTAGGGCCCAGGTTTTTTGAGGTTTAAGGGCTTAGGGTTTGGGGCCCAGAGTTTTTGAGGTTTAGGGCTTAGGGCTTAGGGTTTGGTAGGGTTTCAAGGCTTGGGGTTTGGGCTCAGTGTTTGGCGTTTTGGGTGCAGTACGTAGGGTTTAGGGCTAAGGGCGGGGCTTAGGTTTTAGGGCTTGTGGTTTGGCTTTTTGGGTTTGGGGTTTAGGGTTTGGGATATGGGGTTCGGCATCTAGAGTTTAGGGCTTGGGCTTAAGGTTCAGGGCGCGGGGTTCAGGGTTTAGGCCTTAGGTCTTATTTTGTGGTGTTCAAAGGAAAGAGGAGTGGGGAACATAGGTTCTGTTGTAGCAGTATATATGGGAAGAAGATGGAACACATTTCCGGATTTCACATCACAACCCCTCTTACGCAGCGACAAGCTTGGGGTGTTTTAGCTTGCTTGTGTCCTTAAAATGAGGTCTCTGCTTTGTAGGATCCTGCCACGGCATATGCGGATCAGACCAGGTCATGCAAGGGATGTTGGATAGGATCTGTTCGAAAATACTTGAGATGGGACTTTTTCACTGCAGTGTGTTTTGGCTCCTAGAGTCATCCTTCGCAAGCTTTCCTCAGAAGCGGTCCCTTTAGGCACCATCTCCCGCAGTGCATAGGTTGCGCATAATGCAAAGCTCCCCCAGACCCCTATAGCAACGCAGGCTGCAACCCTCTAAAAGCCTAAGTCTTAGGGCACTCGACCCTTGAACACTGAACCCTAAATCCTTTACTTCAGACCGCAAACCCTCAACCCCAAATCCTCAGTCTTACACCTGCACCCTAAATTTTAAACCCTAAACCCTAAACCCTATTTTCGGAAGGACATCCCGCCTAGGGCTTCACACTCGCCCAAGCCTGTCAGTGAGGACACAATGCTCTTTCGGTTAGTGGCGAATTGAAACAGCAGCAAGTCCCGTTCATTTGTACCACTACTAAGTAGACATTGCTGTGAAAATTCCTCTAGCTTAGGTGGACCCCCCACCCTGTAATAGTGACTATAGGGGATAATAGGGATGATATTAGGGTCCTCTCATATTCCTAGTATACCACTATCACCGGGTGGGGGGTCCTCCTAACCTCTAGCTACTGTGCCAATTATCACGATGATTACCTGAACGGCTCGTTAGAGCCAGCACATGAAACAGCAACTTCCAAGGTTGCCATCCTCGTTAGGGTACTCGTCTGCTGCTTCTGCGGTTACGACTGCGAGATAACGGTCGGGTTAGTGACGGTGCAGTTTTGTGCATTTGACCATGCTGAAACTGGGGTTGCGCATGAATTTTGAAAAGGCATATTTTTCGGGCTTCTTTGCCTTTCGAGACTGGTGTGTTCGCGCAATGGAGTCCGAAAGGAGGTGTCTGACAATGGCCATTGTCATGATTTCGATCACAGAGATTATTGTATTTTTTGTGGGTGTCAGAAATGGGGGGACAATTGCGACAATATCTCATCCATAGCCTGCCGCAGGTGTTGGCTGGAAAAGTTTGGGTTAGCCTCAAGAGATGCGCCCATTTTACACGCATCATGGACCCCGTTTTTTGTGATACGCCCGCATACATCAGTTCTTGATCCAAGCGAGGGCTGTATTATAGCACGACTGCGAGGGGCCGCAGACCGGCGCGTTCAATTTCCCAGCCGTCGAAGTGTGCGTGGACCGCGTCTTGGACGCTGCAACTCTCACAGCCTGCCTTTCCAGTGGCTGGAAACGAATTATGCCAAAGATTTGACAAACCCATGTTTTCATTTTTGGGTACATCCTGGGGTTTACATGCGAATGGTGCAGTTGCTTGCTTTGGAGATCTTTGGAGTGTTTAGCTGAAGACAGGTGTCATGCAGCAAAAGGCATATGTCTTACATTATCGAGGATGCGATAATTATATTTTTTTCATTTCTCATTGGCGACCGGCTAGCCATACTAAATGAATCACGAAGCCCAATTTTTCCGCGAAATTTTGTGCGTTGGGCCCGGGCAGCGTCGACTCCAGCGCGTTTTTTCTTGGGCTGTTTGACTCCCAGTGAAACCTCCTCACTCTAGATTGGCGTTGCCCTGCAAACGTAGTTGGGCGGTTTCGTCGGTGGCTGCGCATCCTGTGAACCGGAATCTAATAGGTGGTTTTCCTTTTTGCAGGACGGTCCGTCGATTACACCATTTTTTCTTTGTGGTACCGGGTATCAAGCTTGAAAGTTCAAGCCTTGATTCAACAGTGGCTTATAATATAGTAGTTTCCATTTTCTTTTCCATTATTCCCATATAACCCTAACATAACACCCCTATAACCCCTAAAAATCCAAAGCACCTGCCATGCGCGATCGCGAAGGAGGAGACGCCTGTGCGTCCGCAGCCCGCGCCTCCAGCTCCACTGCCGCCAGCGCCGGAGACAACGGGTTATTGGCCGTCTTGTCCTCAGGGTGTTGGGAACACATGTGAGCTATAGTCTAAATTCCTTAAAGGGGGCTAGGAAGGGGATTATATAGGGACTACTATAGGGGATATTAATGGGGATACTAGGAGTTTAGACTATAGCTCATGTTTGGTTTTCCACATCTTTAGCTTCAAATCTTTCAAAGGCTTGTAGTCTTGCAGCTTAGCAGTTGAGGATGAGGTGTGTTCCAAGTCGATACCTGCAAAAAGGTCAGGGTCAACACGTGGAACTGATTATCTGGGACAAACTGTGGGAAATTCCAGAGCAAAAGGGTGGCAGAGCATAGGGGGATAAGTTTTACGCTGAGGGTTAAGGGTCAAAGCTCCAACTTGACAAGTACATTGGGTAAGAAGTGAGAACAGTTTGCAGCTACACATTGTTGCAGATATTGATGCATGGGAATCCCTAAAGCCTAAAGCCTAAAGCCTAAAGCCTAAACCCTAAACCTTAAGCCCTAAACCCTAAACCCTAAACCCTAAACCGAATGTTAGATGGTTCTGGTGGCGTCCTCGCACAGGGACATCTTCATCGTTCGTCATCTTAGTGGACCTACTTGGAGGGCCATGGGACTTAGTAATTCTTTATAACTGCGCTCATAACCCTACTTATAATCCCCTAAATGGGCTTATATGGGTTACCCCCAACTATAAGTAGGTGTATAATCCCAGTTATATGTAGTTACTAACTCCCATGGGCCTCCAAGTACTTAAGGGAGATGTTGACGAGGAGTGCACTATTCCATCACGTTCATGGTATACTTGTACCGTGCTACCTCACACACGACTGTTTTTCAGTAGTTTTGTTGCACACTATAGCGAAGCTTCACCAGATAAAGTCTTAAGCCCTGACCCAGCGAACTCCTGAACTTTACGTAGTTCCTAGCGCCCCAGCCCGCCTCTACGCTCCTTAACATATGAGCTGTAGTCTAAACTCCTCAAAGGGTGTGATATAAGGGAATGTATGGGGCTCCTACTGTAGGGCTTGTTAAGGCGGATACTAGGAGTAAAGATTATAGCTCATATACTAATACTAAATTGGAGGTGACAGTTTTACCCTAAACCCTAAATATTCTTGGGGGAGGTAACCCTATGCCGTAAACCCTTCACATTCTTGGGGGAAGCAACCCTAAACCCTAAACCCTTCATACTCCTTGGGGGAGGTGATATCTCTCCTTGCGGATCCCCTGAGGATCCCACTTCGTCGGAGTATAAAGCCTAAGTCCAACGCCCTAAACCCTAAAGCCTTTAGGATGTAGGGTCAGGATTTAGGGTTAGGATTTAGGGTTAGGATTTAAGGGTTAGGATTTAAGGGTTTAGGATTTGGGGTTTAGGATTTAAGGTTTAGGATCTAGGGTTTAGGATGTTAGGTCTAGGATTTAGGGTCTGTCTAAACCTGAACCCTAAACCTTCAACTTCAACCTCTAAAACTCAGGTGGACGTGCTGCGCCTGAGCCTCAAAAAAAAGCCACCCTGTGTATTTAGGAGGTTCTGGGAGCTCAGGAGTAACAATGAGTCACGAGGAACTTGAAGGGTTCGCCTCATTGATTATTTAGGGTTTAGGGTTTAGGGTTTGATTGTTTCTGGGGGTTTCCCAGGGGGCCCAATACCCCTTAATTAAGGGATATTCATTAAATCATATTAGGGATCCTAGAATCATTTAGGGTATATGCCTTAATTAAGCCATATTGGGCTCTCTGGGTTGTTGCGAGGAGTTCCCACTTCCAAGACAACATTGAGGAGAGGCCCCCTAACCTGCAGAAAAGACCTCGCGGTCGCATTTTCGGCTCAGCTAAGCCGATGAGCGGCCGCGGAAAATGTCGGGACTTTCCATGGTCATATGAGCCATAGTCTAAACTCCTAGCATCCCCCTTAATAACCCCTGTAGTAGTTTAAGGGGGATGCTGTGGCTCATATTAACGATGCAGAGGTTGAGCCAAGAAAGACAAGCATCACAGACGGCTTGGTACTTCTTGTTGTGCGTCCTAGCCCACATATGGTAGTTTCCCAAAATAAAGGGACCCCAATATAGACCCCAAAAATATTATAGTCCTTATTATTGGGACCCCCAAAATGGTACCCCTGATTTTGGGAAACTCCCATATTGCAACGCGAAGCATTTCAGCAGGTGGCTTATTTTTAGTAGGATCACTGAAGCCCCAAATTGTTAAACTCTAGGCCTGAGTTCCAAATGGGACAGTTGCCATCCAATAAGGCCCCAAATATCCTCACAACTTGCCAAGGGTATATGGGTTTTAGTTTTAGAGTTTGGAGTGTAGCGCTTTGTGATTTAGGGTTGTCGCATCTGCGTTTAGCGGTTTGGGTTCGGTGTTGGGATGGGTGGAGGATCTGAGGTGTAGGCCGTAACACAGGGAGTATGGCAAGGGCATCACCAGCAGGGCCAGTCTGGACATGTGGTTGATGCATTACTACCTTGTGCAAAAAGACAGATGACACCCCGACCCATAGGGCCTCCAAGCCAGAGTAAGCTTGGCTCATGCAGTCGCCGCCTTGAGATCTTTACTTCTGTTGATTTCATGGTTGTTGTGCATACGGCGATTCTACGGTTTTCTTAGTTCGCAGTCCAAGCATGGTTGGAACTGAAAACCATGCAATTGCGCACAAAACGCGCACTGCAAGCTTCTGTCTTCCTACCAAGGCCATGTTGGTGATGCTGATGCCGGTGCTGGTGCTGGTGCTGTCGCTGCTACTACGGCTGTGAATGTTGCTGCCACTGTAGAAACAGCAACGAAGCCTACCCGAAGCTTTGCCAAGACTGGACCGGCCGTGTCACTGGCCGTCAGTGAGTCAAACGATCTCCACGTGCATCCGCCGGACTGGATTGAGGGATTGGGGTTGACGGTTGGCAGTTTATCGCGAATCCTGGCTAGCATTGAGGATGGAGTTCGAGGGCTCAGCCTGGAAGACAGGTTCAGTGTTGAGGGTGTGGGCGGAGGCTTTACCTTGACTCCATACATCATCGGATCTTTTCCTAAACCCCAAACCCTAAAACCTTAAGCCCTAAACCCCTAAACCGTAAACCCGCCTAAACTCCAAGCCCTGAAGCGTTTGTTCCTCAGTGGCCGGTGGTCAGGGTTTGAAGCCTGGTCAGGGTTCAGCATGATTTCTTGTTTTCAGACACTTTCAGAAGCAGAAATGCTTAGACCCCTGAAGCCCGCGGTTTGGGGTTTAGGGTTTAGGATCTAGGGATTAGGGTTTAGGGTTTAGGGTTTAGGATCTAGGGATTAGGGTGTAGGTTTAGGGTCTAGGGTCTAGGATCTAGGGATTAGGGTTTAGGATCTAGGGATTAGGGTTTAGGGTTTAGGGCCACCTCGTAGTCCCACAGCCGATAATCCCAAGCAGGGAGTTGTAAAAATTCTTTCTTCAACCCTTGGGCATACTCTCATGCCAACATCCAGAATGAAACTGTCCAACAACTACCAACAAGGATGCTGCAGGGAAACCTTCAAACCCTCAGCTGCCAGGCTTTCCATCCTCAAATCCCGGGACCACAGTTGTTGGTCCCCAGAAAAAATTGAGCACTTAGCCTGAACTTCCACGTAAGCATTCACCCTAAACCCTATGTTCTAAATCCTAGGTCCAAAACTCAGTAAACCCTTTGGACCCCAAAACCTTCAAACCCTATTTGAGCTATAGTCTAAACCTTTTAAAGTGGGATTATATAGGGGGGTATTACAGGGGTTATTAAGCGGGATACTAGGAGTTTAGACTATGGCTCATTTGGCATGGTTGTGAACTTGGGGGTAAACCCTAAACCCTAAACCCTAAACCCTACGGGCGAGGAGAGTGCAACGGCGGGCGGCGAGTCTGGAAGTTTCTTGGCTTTCTTTTTAGGGCTGGAGCCCTAAAGCCTGAAACGTAAACCCCAAAGAGGAACCTGAGTTCCATGCTAGTTTTGGGAGGGTAGCGATTTTGGTGTTTAGGGGTTGAGGGGTGAACGTGAGGTATTATTATTACTATTATTTCATGTTTTTCTCCCGTGTGGGGCTTGAGGGCTCTGGGGTTCGGGCTCTGGGGTTCGGGATTCAGGGTTCTCTAAACCCTAAACCTTAAGTCTTAAATCCTAGACCTTGAACCCTAAACCTTAAGTCTTAAACCCTAAACCTTGAACCCTCCACCTTAAGCCTTGAACCTTAAACCTTCTGCCTTAAACCCTGCCTTGAACCCTAAACCCCAAACCCTAAACTGCCGGGTTGCATCATGTAGCAGCTGAGAGGGTTTGGGGGGCTTGGGCCCTAAACCCTAAACCCTAAACCCTAAACCTTGGGGGCTTGGGCTTTAGGGCTTTTGGGGTTTTGGGTCCAGGGGCTGATGCTTTAAAGGGGAGGCGAAGGTTTTAGGATTCAGGGTTTAGGGTTTAGGGTTTAGGATAAGTTTAGGGTTTCAAGTTGGGTTTTAAGTTTAGGGTTTAGGTTTAGGGTTCTTAAGTTTAGGCTTAGAAGTTTAGGATTTTGAGTTTAGGGTTTAGGGTTTCAAGGTTAGGGTTTAGGTTTTTAAAGTTTAGGGTTTGGGGTTTAGGCTTTTAAGTTTAGGGTTTAGGGTTTCAGGGTTTAGGGTTTAGGGTTCAGAGGTTGAACCGAAGCCACCTGTACTCCTATCCCGCTTAGGAATTATTTCAGCCTCTTTCTGCAGTATAACCACACGGAACCCTAAGCCCTAAACCCCTAAACCCAGGGAACCGTTAAACATTTTGTATATCGGTCTAACGGGACTAGAGTGTAGCATTCAGGGGTTGCAGGTGGAAAGATTTAGTTAGGAGTCCAGGATTTGACAGCACCCTAACCCTGAACCCTAAACCCCAATGTAGGGTTTAGGGGTTTAGGGGCCAGGAGTTTAGGGATTACCAGGGTTTGGGGGTTTAGGCTGCGGTCGCATGCTGGTGAGAGGCTCCCACCTCTCCAGAGTTGGTGTTACCGAAGGGATCATGGAAAAGAACATGGAGACTACTGTAATTCTATAGGGGTTATATAGGGGTTATGTAAGGGTTATATAGGGGTTATATAGGGGTTATATTGGGGTTATAGCTCATAGTTCAGGATCTAAATTGTGTGAGGTGGTACTTTGAGTATCACACCAGTTGGTGCTGTATTTGCTTGGCCCAAGCTACCGACTTCATGATTGTGTTTGATGAGTTTACTTGTTAAATGGGGTGTCCATGTGGGGAAGACCGCACATCGAGCAAATGCCTTGCTTGCTCAACATGGGTTCAACGTCCTGAAGCTCACAAGTGTGTAGCCCAATGGTACCCTTTTGCCCTTTTTTTTTTAATTTCTCCTCATTAAAGCTGAACAGTAGGAACAAGGGTACCCTTATTATTAATGGGTTACTGGGGAACCTAGTTACATCCCGGATCCAACTAAACGAAGTCCCATTCCTAGCCTCCTCAGACCTAGAGCCGCCATCTTGATATGACTCCGTCAAGATTCGGGCTTACTATCACGGTTTTCCATGCCTTGCCCTGAGGGCCCCAAGACCATTAATATTATAGTATTTGGGCACCCTATTTTTGGGTCCTTGGACCTTGAAGGTTGCAAAACTCCAAGTATTACGTCTAGCGCTCTGACATGTTTAGAAGACAGCCAGCTCTAGCGCAAAGATTTCAGCGTGGTCGTGCCCCCGCCAATCCGCTTACGAGCACTCCACACTCCAACATCCGCACCCCTATATTATTCAATAGGGGGGAAAGATTTTTTCCCCGAATTATTTACTGCCTTGAACCCACACCCCTAGACTATACCTCAAGCCCGTCGCGCTTTGCAGTCTCGACCCAGACCCCTGGGAGGATCTAGAATTTGATCCCCTATATAGACCCATGATAACCCCTATATAATCCTTATATAATTCCCCAATTCCCCGTATGGTTCTAGGGGATGGACCTCAGGCAACCTCCTGACACCCGTGGTGGTCTCTACTGGCGCTGGGCAGCAGGCTTTGCCATCCAAGGGCTCTTGAGGTTGCTCCCAATATGGGCTGTAGTCTAAACTCCTTAAAGGGGGATTTAGGGTTTAGGGTTTAGGATTTAGGGTTTAGGGTCTTGAGTTGCTCCCATTATGGAGAATCAAATGGAAAAGAAAATTGAAAATGAAATGGAAACTGGGATTATGTAGGGCTCTATAGGGATTATGAGCTATAGTCTAAGCTCCTTAAAGGGGGATTTAGGGTTTAGGGTTAATATGGAGAATCAAATGGAAAACAAAATGGAAAATGAAATGGAAACTGGGATTATGTAGGGCTCTATAGGGATTATGAGCTATAGTCTAAAGTCCTTAAAGGGGGATTTAGGGTTTAGGGTTAATATGGAGAATCAAATGGAAAACAAAATGGAAAATGAAATGGAAACTGGGAATATGTAGGGCTCTATAGGGATTATGAGCCATAGTCTTAAGTCCTTCAGGGGGATTCAGGGTTTAGGGTTAATATGGAGAAT